CTCTTATAATATGGATGGGTAATTTTGATGATTTTGTTTTTTAATGATTTTATTAAATTGATTTTCATTTTATTTGGATGATAGGAATGGTAATTAATAAATCTATTACTTGATGTTGGTTTTCTGAATCACTGAATGGTATATAAAAATCATCGAAGTACAAATTATCCTTAGAATAGTTCACGGAATAGCCCCTTAAATGTTTGCCGAATGTAAAATAAGCACCCTGTTTTTAATTTGATGGCTTGTTTAAAAAATTGTTTTAATGAAGATGTGATGATTGACGTTCGGGTTGGAGTTAATATTTACTGAAATTTGCTTTTTATCAGATTTTATTCTTTATTGAAATTATCTGAGGATATTGTATACTAATGAGTCTGTTACTGTGTGTAAACATAATGGTTGTTTACATTGTGTATGTATGGGTTGGTTTGTGGTTAATGTCGAAATCGTGTTTATGTTGATTTTTGTAATTGTGAGGTTTCAAAAGTGAATTCAACGTTTTCATGAATAGAGTTATTGTATTGAAAAAATGACTGTGAATGTCGATGTTCTCCTGTGAAGCAGGCTACCACATCGTCAACATATCTTAACCAGTAAATACATTTTTGGAAGCTTGGATGTTGCAGTGAATAACAATTTTGACTTGAACGTAATTCATCTTTGATTAGGAACTTTTCGAATGAGTCTACCTGTTATCTAATTCACTATTAACCAATAAAGTGAGGCGACTACTACTGTTGTATGTAATAATTATATACCAGTGTACAATTACCACCGATGAAGCTACCGTCTTAGCAAAACACGTCTATTATGAAAAATTGACTAATTTTTATCATGTATGATATTATTAATAATTTTTATCATTTAACAGTGTATTCATGATAATCACTGTAATCATCTTGGTCCTCAGTCGATTTCTTAGTCTTGGTCCAATTTATAAATGACTTATTGCGACCCATTATGATTCAAGATGTTGAAGGAGCACAATCACAAATCCAGATAGTGGAAAATATACCCTTTCAATTCAAACTATTGTACTCTAAGTAAACACAAATATTTTGTGACACCGTATATCCTCAAAAAATATAAATGTAACGTAACATTCATTGGAACTCTCTTAGTTTGTCGGATAACTTTGGATTGTGAAGGTTGACAATGATTAAATCTTCTAATATATTCCTTATAATGATTCTGTAAGAATACCACCGATAAATATTTTGGCAAAAATCCTGTCATCATCCGATACAACAGAGTCGTTGAGTCAAATCCAATTTTGTGCATATTTTTATATATTCTGATGTTGCTTGTCATTCAAAATACCATGGCAAAAATTTCAAATCGATATGATTATTACCAGTAAAAGAGAAATTTTTATTGTGAAACAACGATAAAAATAATAACTGAATTGAACTGGCCGCTATTGTATAGCGAAACACGTGTCGCGGTTTTTGTAAAACCCTTATAGAGGAAATCATAGAATAAACTATTTATTAGTTTTTAAAAATAATAACAACAATAAAAATTAATTGGCGCTGCGGGGCGACTTCATTGATTGCAGTGGCGCATTTGCTTTTTCAGCTGCAGGAAACCCGGAAAAACCTGCAGCACCACATCGTCTGAAGATCTTGATCTGTATATTTTAATGAACCACAAATGAAATAGGTTTGTCATGATTGTATCATGGAATATGGTTATATAAAAAATATACCCACCCTCAATGTACTTGGTTTATTGGAGTAATCTACTGGTTGACATCTTAAACTATATTCTCCAGTGAGCCATCCGCCCATTCCTACCTGAAATACAGAATCGATCAATAAAATGTAAATATTATTATTTTTTGATTATTCATCATCAAGATTTAATACTGTCTTCGATAAATCTTCAGAAATGTACATACTTCAGTGAATTGGAAGAACCAACATCTCTACCAAATTTTACTGTATGTAAAATGTATGCATATAATTGTCATTAAAATTGAATACAGTTGCAAGGTAATTCACTAATGAAAGTAGAATGATATCTTGAAAAATGTATGTAGTAAATACGAGAAAAAGAAAATATGGGTAAAAATATTAGGCACTTTATTTTTGATAGTGAACTTGCATAATATTTTAGTTATTTAGTTTCCTCGACGTATACCTACAGTGGCACAGAGAAATTATTTCCTACGAAGTTTAATGAGACGTTTCGTGTATTATGCTCTATAATGACATTGTTCAAAAATTTCTTTGCCACGCATGGTGGAAAAGTGAGGGATTTTTACTTAATATGACATTTTTTTTCCATCGTTTTGTATCTTCAGATTACCACCGTTGAAGTGCATATTCATATTGCCTAAATCATAATGCATAGGCGGATGTACTACACAATCAGCCTCTTGCTATGACTGTATGTCGAGTTGAGAAGTTAAAATCATTTCGTGCGAACATAAAGTCGCTTCAAATGGTGTCGAAGATATTTTCCGGATTCGTTGGCCGTGGTCTGCAGATTTTTAAGCCTGACGTTCCATCCACTACTGCAGTGGACATTATTAAGGCGATGAGGTAACACTGTAGTATACTACTAGTATATGGTAAGAGGACAACAAGAATACTGAAGACAGAAAATCTGAAGATCATGGCCAGGAAATCCAAAAAATAATTTTGTCACAGTTATTTCTAGCCGTTGAAAGCATACTTTTTTTGATTACCTTAAATATTATTATTATTATATGAAACGTAGGTACCATTGAATTTCCTGGTTTTGTTTTAGTGGGCAATAGAATGCGTAATATTCAAAATTTTCAGGGCCTCATTAGAATGGCAACATTTGAAATTATAGCTCAGAAGTTCGACTATTGCAATTTGACAAAACATACGTGCCGCAACGTTTCACAAGAGAAGTGAAATAGCTCAATGGAAAACCTATTGATGAATTTTGCTTACAACAAAAAACAAACTCATTTTTTTCATATTCCAATTACAAACACTGAATGATTTCTGTACGCCAGCGTGTGTCAAAGAACCTGTAAATGATGAATAATAATAATATTAATGATAATTTCTTTATTTTCACAAATTAGTTTGCACTTCAACAGTTTGATAATGCAAATGAAAAAGAGAAAAACATCAATAAATTCAAATAGAGAAATGAAATAAGAAAATGTATATACATTTGAAATTACTATAATGATTAAATATCTCTGGATGTGTATAGGACATCCACGTCACAAACAATTATTAGAAATACTATAAAGTATGAATATAAAATATATTGAAGTTACTAATTCTACGTGTGTATAAATAAAAAAGGTGTATATTGAATAAACCGTACACTTCACATGGAAATGAAGTTACGGCTGAAACTCCTCAACAGTGTAGCAGTTTTTTGTCAATAAGAGTTGCTTAACTTTTCTCTTGAAAATATGTACATTTCCTGAAACCTTAATGTCGTCGGAAAGTTTGTTATACAGTTTGAATCCCTGATATTCAAAAGTTTTTTGGTAGAGAAGCAGTTCGATGTTGACTGGGGGTGAGGGTCTGTTGGCAGCCAATTTGTTTTCATTGCGGTATACATATGTGGATGCCTCAAGTATGTATATTCCTGCAACTGTTATTATTTTTAACTCCTGAAATACACCCCTACAGGTCTCCCTAAATCCCAAGTTAGCAAAGATCCTTACTGCATACTTCTGTATCATGAACACTCGATCCACAGAGGAGCTTGTGCCCTAGTTCAGTATGCCATACCTGAGGTGAGAATTAAAATTCGCATAATAAAGCGTAAGTAGAATCTCTTGACGGCAGTGAATGGAGAGATACCTGAGAGAATAACAGGCATTTCTGAGCCTTTTACACAAATTATCTACTTGGGGCTTCCATTGCAAATTGTTTTGAAAGGTAACTCCTAACAATTTAGTTGTTGTTGTGGGATCTAATTGTAATTCGGTATTCTGGTATACATATCTCATGGTGTTGTCGTCGTACCGTGAATTGTAACATACTAGTTTTTGTTTTATTCATTATCAAGTTGCTTTTTTCACACCAAGTGATAACTCTACTTAAAGTGCTTTCAGCTATATTTAGGACATCTTCAATAACTAGTATATTCGTGTCATCAGAGTAACATATACAGAGATTGGCACAATGTCCATTTAGATACACTAATAGATCATTTGCGAATACTAAATACAGAAAAGATCCCAAAATAGATCCCTGAGGCATACCATAAGCAATGTATTTTTCAGAATTTATATTCTATCAAATTTTCACTATTTGTCTCCTATTTTTAATATAGGTGATCAATAAATTGAGTGGCACTCCTCTAATCCCATATCTCGAGAGTTTTTCCAGCAAGAGGCTGTGATTAACGCAACCAAACGCAACTTCTAGAATACCCTCTTTACAAAAGTTGGACACGATCAACTCACAAATGTTTTCGACAAGAGTGTTCTTTTTATATACAGAAACCCCCTATGTATCCCAGTGCTCCTAGAATAGGAGGAACACAGATCAAAGTTTTTCAATTTGAAAATTTCCAATTGTTCAGTATTTAGTCAATGTTCCGTAATGAGAAGAAAATCACAAGTTTCATCTCCATTGAATATCTCATCTATAAGTACAATTTTGTTGCTAATACATTGAATGTTTTGATGAGTGAAACAAATAAAGTTATTTTTGGAACAAGTTTTACGCCCATAGCTCCCTGTTTTAGGGTTAGATACAAATGTTACGTGATTACTTATCATGCTCTGTATCACGTGATGTTGGGTAAATATTTAATACTCTGTTCTGGGAATCAGAACTTCGTCTAAAAAAGTTGCTTCCTACCAAAACTTTGATGGAAAGCTGATGATTTTTCCCCTTTTTTTCGCTTCTGTTTTGTTTTTGATGAATAATATTATTGAGATTTCAGAAAGTTTGTACCACGAAAATGCATGTCGAAAAACTATCAAATTGGTAACTGAAATCATACAACACGAAAATCTTATGTCACTGACGGAATGGTTTAACAAAAATGTTCTACTGATGAACTTATCAGTGCAGAACGTTTCACAGAAATCCCAGACAAATTGAGGTTTCTCTTTACAATAATACATATTTGTTGCAATTCGTACTATCAAAATCACAGCTGTTAGTTATTCATCAATGACGAAAAAAAGAATGAGACTGCAATCTCAAATAAATTTTGCTTGAAATCAAATTAGCTTTCTCAATTATGAACTAATTGCAATACAAAAGTATATTCAAAATTATACCTATGTATACAGCTGTTAATTATTCATTAATGACGAAAAAAAAAGGATGAGAGTGCTATCTCAAGTGAATTCTGATTGAAATCAAATTAACTTTCTCAATTATGAACTGATTGCGACACAAATGTAGCTTCAAAATTATACCCATGTTGATGAATACTTTTGTCATTATATTAAAATCTATGATAAATTTAAAAAATGTATCAAATGAACTTGTAACTATCATACAGATTTCAATATTGCTGAATTACCAAATACGTTTTATTGTGAACATTCAATAAATTTATCAAGTGAAAATTATTACCTCGTAAAATATCCATGTACTGAATAATACTTGTAAAAAATTGTAAATTACTAAAGTATTTTTCAATTGAAAGGGTTTCCTATTTTCCATTAGTTTTGGTCCTAATACCTGAAAAAAAAAACATTTCAGAACTCATAACAAAAGATATTTTCAATCCGTAATGTAATGTGAATAAGACTTTTTGTTTCACTGTTGATTCCAATACAAACAGGAGTCAACAAGATTACTTGGTGACTCAATGGTCAGTTAAGTGAGATTTTTTCTATTTCAGTGAGAAAATTCAACATTTTCTATTTTTGTTTATTTACATCTCATCCATAAAGAAATGAAGAAAAGATGATTGAACCTTTCTATGTTTTTACCACTTTTATTTGTAATTAACGTTACTGCAGTTTCGTCCTATAACAAACTTGTACATTAAACTAACGATGGTTCACTACATTAGCCCTTATATACCACCCCCATGGGTACTAATAGAGGTACTTGGCTTGATTGAGTACCAGAATTTACAGTTTACAATGCGGATACGCCAATTTGAAAACCGGTGAGTAAACTAAATCGATTTGATCATTTACCAGGTTGCATCGGTTTTCAAATTGGCACATCCGCATTGTAAACTGTAAATTCAGGTTCTCAATCAAGCCAAGTACCTCTATTAGTACCTACAGGGATGGTATATAAGGTCTAATGTAATGATACATTGTTAGTTTAATGTATAATTTTTAAAATGTCCTTATGCGAAACTGCAGTAACATGAGTTACAAATAAAAGTTGTAAGAAACATAGAAAGTTTCAATTCTCTTTTCTTCATTATGATTTCCTACCACGTAGTAACGGCTACATCATGGTTGCACAGACTTATGAAGACTAGGGGCCACTCGGGCAAATCATGAACTGATGGCGGGCCGGCCGCCAGAAGTATAGGTAATTAAAGACAATAAAGAATTGATAATAATTTATTAAAATTCAAAAAGAATTTATTAATTTGAAGCGTAGCACTGCATAGTGCTTACAATCTTTTTTATATTTGGCTCAAATTTACTTGTAGCAACACGTAAAACTGCTTCCAAACTTTCATTTGCAAGACGGTTTCGATTTTTTGTTTTATTATTATTTAGTAATGAAAAAGTTTGTTCACATATATAGGTAGAACCAAATAAGCTGGCACATTTCAGAGCGTTTATGCGCAACTTTTCGTACATATTTTTATCAATGCAGCGGTAAAAGTTCAGCAAGTCTCCTTCGTTGAATTTGTTGCGTAAATCTTGATCGTTTTGAATGTCGATAATTTCTAACTGCATTGACTCCGGCGCATTTTCAACTGAAATCGTGAAAGGATTGCTGAATATGTCCAACAGAGGTTTCACTTTTTTAAACTCCGAAAATCTGTCTTGAAGAGATTGAATCAAAATATCTAGCTTTTCTACATAACTGAAATTAATCGCAGTTTTGTTGAATTTTTCAGCCATTTTCTTATAATTCGGAAAATGATTGTAATTTCCAGAATTCAATTGTGATCTGAAAAGTGTCAGCTTGCATTGAAAGGATGATACATGAGCGTAGAGCTGAGATATCAGTTGATTTTTGCCTTGAAGCCGTGTGTTCAAGACATTCAAATGATTTGTAATGTCAACTAAAAAAGCCAAATCACACAACCAACCAGGATTTTTAAGTTCCGGAACATCCCTTTGCTTTTCCGCCAGAAATATTACAATTTCTTCTATTAAATTTAGAAATCGTTCCAGTGTCAATCCACGGCTTAGCCACCTTACTTCTGTATAATACAGTAAATCTCCGTATTCGCTTTCGATGTCATCAAGGAATTGTTTCATTCATACTTTTCGAACATATTTTTTTTGTTTTATTCTGGAATTGAATTAAATATTCTTCGAATGTACGAGAGTATTATTTTTGCTGTCGGCGGGCCACCAGTATTCGACCGGCGGGCCGCGGTCTGAAATGAAGTTTATAACTAAGAAACATACGGTGTAAAACACAATTTTCTGATAAAAGCAGTATACTCCTTAACATGATTTATTATATTGGATATAGTAGGGTTAACATACTTCATAACAAAATCCATATTCACTGCCATAAATCTGCTTATCTTTTTGTCATTTTATTTTTGGGTTATTTGTGAAACTTTGCAGAACGCAAAATAATTCTTCAGCTACTTTAAATTGTTTATATATGCTTTTCTAAAATTACGCACAATGGAGTATCTTATGGAAATAGAATTATTTTCTATATTTACCTTAGAAGAAAATACTGAAGTTTCACAATCAATGTTCATCCGATTACTTTGAATAAGTCCAGGATGATCACAATATGTGTAAATGTTGTTATCATTTCAAACTCGTGAAATCATAACATTATTGTTCTACAACTATCCGAAATAACTCCAATTATTATAAGTACTTTTTCTTACCTTGACTATAAATACATATGTTATACATAGTCCCAATGTGTAGAAAGGACTTGACATGAGAAACCAATCTGCTGTTCTTTGATCTGAAATAATAAATATTATTTTTATATCAAATTCCACTCATTTATTGCAGAAGCACATAAATAATAAATTATAATTGATAAAATGTATAATTATTTTGTAATTTTATTTGGCGAAAACATGGTATTTTTAATATTTAATATCCCATGAATTAACTGATACATCGAACTCAAATTCTGGCAAATTCGCGATAAGGTATGGTGGTTGTTATTTTGGAAAAAAATTCAAATCTTATTTTATACTGAGTGTCTGAAAAATACATCACAATTTGTATCTTTGATAAATGACAGTAACTAATTTTTTTCAAACGGATAACATAGTGAAACTGTTATTTTTATTTTTCACTTCTATTATATTTTAACACTCGCATGCATTATTTATGGTTATTGTTCTAACTGAATCTACTTCATAATCTCGAATATACTGGTTCATTATTATCAATAATTTTTAATACATACATACGTTTGGAAAAAGAGTAAAGTATGGGTATTATTTTGCTGAATTATTTCTTTCCTTTGAGATGTCACTTGGGTAGGGTTCCTGTCTTCTTTATCAGTAGTTCTTTTCTCTCTTTACCTCTTTTCTTATTTTTTTTTTCTCCTTGTCCTTTGCAGTTGGGGTGAATAGTACTAGATCTGTTTTTTGAGGTGTTGGAGTAGATGATATACTTATAGAATTCATCTTTTGTTCATTTCCTATATCTTCCGGTGACTTCGTCAAATCTTCGTTTGTATATTTTTCACCATTCACTATCAAGACACCGTTCACTTTAGTTGCCGATGATCCTTTTTCTCTAGATAGTTTGAGTTATCCGTATAGGAGTTTTTTTTTCTGGTACTCTTCTTGTGTGTAGTCAGGGGCAATGAAGATCCCTGAGTCCCAGTTTGGTCCTGGAAAGTTGGAGTATTTCAGTTTTCAAATTATATGTGGACACTTCAATTATTACAGGTATTGTTGTATTTGTATTAGTTTTGCCAACCCTATATGGATCTCTGATGTCACTTTTAGAATATTCGATTTCGAGTTTGTTTCTCAATAGGGTATAAATATCTTCTTTGGTACTGTTTTCTTCGCCTGCTAACCCGGTTATAAATAGATTATATTTCTTATAATGTTTTTCTAGACTGTTGATTTTCTTCTTCATCCGGCCATTCTCTTTTAAGAACTCCTCATTCATTTTTTTTGATTGAGTTAGTTCAGTTTTTAAGATAGTTTAAGATAGTTTATGATTCAAAATATATTTTTTAATTGTATTATTCTGTCTAACTATATTTTCATTTTGTTGCTTTATTTCAATTAATAATTCGTAAACTGTTTCATTGGGGATACTCATATCTTGATTTTTTTTCTTTTTTGATGAACACAAACACATTCAGCAAGCGTTACTCGTTTATTTGATCTGGAATTTTGCCTAAAACCACTGGAATACAGCAGACTTTGTCTGAATGTTCAGTGTCGCATGTCTGAATCCGGCTTGATAATTACGGGTTAAGGCAACCGCACACACACACACACACACACACACACACCAAGATACGCCTCTGGTAGGGTGTTAATCATTCACTTGTCTTGGCAGATGTGGCTAATTTCAACCACCTTATGGTTTAGGCCTAATTGAATCGATTGAAGATATAGTATAATAGGTGAAATACTAATATATGCATCTCTTATTTTTTGTTTGAGATGGTCGATATCTCTACTTGGTGTTGGAAAAACTTTATCCTTTATATGCATATATTCCGCTCTAAATTCGCACTGCGAGGGAGACTACGACCTCGAGTCATGTGAGTACAATTCCAAGTGATTCTTGAAAATAGCTCCGAAGCAGGAGCCGAAACGTCGCAAAGATGAAAATTACAGACGTGTTTCAACCCGAACAACAGTATATCAAATATATGGTGGTTTGACCAATCAACCGAGAACTGCGGTGGCAGACATTTGGGTTGATTGGTCAAACCACCAACACTGACACTATTTCCAGACTTTCGAAGATATCCAAAAGTCTAGTATAATGTACCGATCTCAACGAATAGAGACAGTGCTTATTTATTTTCATCACCGTTCTCCCAGGTGTTGATTGATACTGGAATTATCTGATATGTGCTGCGCGTTCTTTGAAATTACTTTTAATTGCTCGTTTAATCTAACCGATATACTTTTTGTTAGAATCCTCACATCTCGATTTTTCAGTTTTCAACACCTTGCGTTTAGGCCATTTGTTGAAGTAAACAAGCAGTTTTGAAATCTACTTTAACGTTTAACTTTTAGATAATGCCATCTGCTCCGATAGTGTATCTTCGTCCATATAGAATAATAGTGCCTTTTTGAAAAGTCGAAGATTGACGACGATTCTCCCCAAATTTACGTTTCCTAAATAACTTTTCAACTATATTTGATAATATTTTTCTCAATATCGTATCTTTCTTCTCCATAGACTTGTTATGTTTCCAACTGTGAGCACGTTGATAAAAAGTATTTCGGTTAGTCTAAACAAGCTAATGAAACTCGTTCTTAAGAAAACGCGGCACATATCAGATTTCGGAGAATAGACAAGGCTAGTGTCGCTCAGCACGCATTTGAAAACAACCACAAAATAAATGAACACTTTCTAAAACTGTTGAACTCGGTTCATGACACGACTTTTGCATGTTTTGTACCAACCTTTTTTATTTTTGTTTCACCCTCCAGAATCTGAAAAAATATAAAAATTATAATGGGGAACTTTATAAGGTGTAGTTTTCAAGTTCACCCCAATACGCTATTGCATAAATTCAAAGTATTTGTCACAAAGGAAAATGTCCTATTCATCAGTAATAATTCTAGAGAAACTCATTTCAACGGCTATAATCTACCTCCAACTTAATAATTGGAAAGTAATCTAATAAATCCTGCATTTTTTTGGTTCGTTTCATTTTCAAAACGTCCTCAATAAATGTCAATGACAGACTTTATAATTTTTCAGATTGAAGAAGGTGAAAAAAAATACAAAAAAAGGTTGACAAGAAATTTTTGGGTGCTTTGGAAAGTCTGGAAATAGTAAAATGTGGCATGAGAGTTTTGAAGAGTGACAAAAGTCCTACTCCAAACAACCCATTATTTTTTTTCAAATGAATCACTGTGTTGATGATTAGCGGGAACTTGGCCAATTTGTGCCCTAAAAATAATTGATGTGAGTCTAAAAGCCAAGTTTTTAGTGTTAGGAATTACTTTGTTTCATTTCATGAAGTCAATTCGCTTGTTGAAACCTGCGTCGAAAAGAGTGTTGCAGTTGTAGTTTGAGGGCAGTTCTTATTTTATATTCATTATACGTTAGAGATTCCAGTGCTACCTTTCAGAAACAGGCACTTTTCCATATGACTTTAGTTTTCTTCATCTCATTCACCTTCACACATATTGAAAAAGGAATTTTTTTATTAAGAATTGATAAAGCGATGAATTTTATCAGTTGTTTTTTTGCAGACTTCACACCCTTGTCAGTCATAATGTACACATTCGCGAATAAAAATAAGTCCTCATTAGGTTATTGTAGTGAGAGCTGCCGACATGAAGTTATAATTTCTTTTGGCGTTGATTATCGAAGGTTATTTCTTCTGTCAAATGCCACCTCCTGAGACCCTCCTTGTGCGGGATTTGAGTTTTCTGCTGACTCTTGCATATTTTCTCTTAATAAAGATACAAAAATGGTCGCCAGTTAATATACAGCTAGATGAAAATACTATGTCCAGCTGAGCATTTCGTACAAAAAAAGACCTACTTCGTAAAAAAAAATTGGTTTCGAAAATAATCCTAAAGTTAAACTATACTAACTGTTCAAAGGACATGAATTCTCATATCACGAAATAATCAAATAAAAATAAATGATAATTAAATACAAACCTTGATATTTATTCAACATATTATTGAAATCCCTCATTGTATTCACTATAACAGCCATGTTGATTTATCTGAAACAAAAATATATGATAGTATTTCCAATCAAAATTTAATGTTCTAATTTCAATGAAATATGCACAAGAGTTTTTTCGTTCCGACAGGGAACCTGTCTAAATGCATACGATGTTCATATCATGTTCTGGATAGTCTATGCAAGTGTGACAAAAATCTTACTCCAAACAACCCATTATTTTTTTTAAAATGAATCACTGTGTTGATGATTAGCAAATACATTTTTGAGCCAGCTAGGACCATCATGGCTATTCGCATTCTCAACAGCCATGTAACATAGCATAACAATTGATCTCTCAACATATCCACCCGCACTTTTTATATTGGTAACGCTCAAGTAAGTTCTAATTTATTCATATTTATCATTATCAAAACATGAGTCTGTGAGAAATTGGGGAAAGCAGGGTGGCCTTGAGCTGGCGATAAAAACGCACCTGATTTGAAAAATTTACTTATTTTCGATTTCACGAGCAAATATTCTTGTGTGATAGTGATAGTGAATCATATGTGGATAATATAACGGAAGATTATTTCCGAAAAAATCCTCTATTATCTAATGCAAATAGGAGAAAGTTTTCCGTGGAATTGCAAATTATCTGATACAGCACACTACTATAATAAAAAATAATGAAGTAGCCTACATACCTGACTATTTCGATCACAGAAAATGAATTTTTCGTATTCACCTAAATAATTGGTCAAAGTCTTAGCGATATAGAAAATTTACCAAAATTCATGAAAAACAAAAAAAAATGAAAAACATCCAACCTTTACTTATTGTGAAAGAAACATGACCCGTATCCCGTATCCAACCTCTCAAAGCAAACTTCTTTTCATGACCAAATTGAAGTTAAAGATATCAACTGAAACATTTTGAATAATCAACATTTTAATCCAGCCCTTGCAACTTCGAAATTAATTGAGGAATTGTTGAATAAAATCGCTATCTACAGTTTCCAATTCCACTCAAACCTAATTACCTCAGGCTGATGAAAGGTTTAAAAAAAGTAAGCCTCACGAGAGTTACAATCAGACATCATCATAACACGTAAGAGCTACAATAATAAAATTAAGTCTGATGGCTGTATCAAAAAAAACATACGTTTTAGAAACATGAATGTTATATGTTGTTAGTGAGTAACATGAATATTTGGAAACATTCATCTCTTCTTATGTTCCTACCAAGAAGAATCTAATAAATTCCCGACGGAAAACAACTACTTCTCGGGCTGATACCATGATGAACAATCAATTAAGTTACCAGAAGATAGTTTCGACGATGCTTCTTGTTCCTCTAGCAGTAGTACCACGCTGAAATCTATCGAGCGAATCACCGAAAGTCCGGTTTCAGCGTATTACGCTTCATCAGTGCAGGTAAGATCGGAGCCAACCATACATGTGCCTGGGACTCGACTGACTTCAAACGTGGCTTGAATGCATGTATGATAACTTCGTGTGAGAGAGAGAGAGGATTTTTAACTAGTAACTAGTAACAGATACATCTAGTGTAGTGTCCATGTACCAATGACTCTAACAAAAGTCAAATAAGTCCGATGACTGTAAACATATCGTTTGTAGAGGGTGTGAATTCGTTCACATTGGTTGAATTGAATGACCTGATACGAGAGAAATTATATGCAGCTAACCAGATTTTATTAACGTTGATTCTCTCTTCCCTTCAGCTGAAATTATTTATGTGTTCGTCATCCTGAATTTTTATCGCCTCCCTATATAGTATTGGATAGTAACTCAGTTCTATCGAGGACTTGGGTCTCTTCAAATGCGATAAGGTGGGAACCATCTCTGAGTGCGTATTTCACTCCTGCTGATTTATTGGTATACATCAGGCGAGAGGGTTTGATGCATCTGCGAACCTGGGAATCTTCAAATGGAACTCAATTATTTAAAAATTGCCTTCAAAGTCAATGGGTATAGTAGCGAAACCGATTTTGAGCGGGCAATATTACCCAGAAAGGAGAATGCCAACGCTATTCTAAATAGGCATGCCAGCAAAAAAGTTTTCCTGCCAAATGTGGTGAATATTATCGACAACTGGATCGGGGGAGTTCTGGAGAAACATAACATGAAATCGAAATTCAGGTTAACTGAATCGAAGAGAGTCTAAGGTCAGCTTAGGACCCCAGTGGGTCAGATACATTGACTTATTAAACTTCAACAAGTGAGTACAACGTGTGCTTTGTTACGCACTACTCAAATAATATTAGGTACCCTTATTCATCTGAGGTGCGTGAACTCGTACCCAAGCTCAAGTGTCAGTTGGGGTGGGTACACGAGATTAATTTCATTTGATTTTTCTGGATTGATTTAAATGTGCGCCACTAGTTATCAATGAGCCAGTCTTAACTTGTAGACTGCCCAGAATGACTGGGTATGAACAGACAAATCGGAACGATATAAAGCTGATTAACAATTATATCACAAAAATAGACAGGTTATGCATATCGGTACAAATAACTAAATAATCTATTCACACAAAGGAAAGGAGTACCCCTAAACATCTAATATGTATTTACTCACAACAAAAAAAAAAGCAAAACAAACTCAGCTAACGCGCCGCAGTGACGTCACGTTGTCGCTTACAAGTTACCTTAGTTACAAAACACATAATAATTTTTTTTTAAAAGAACGTCATTGAAATTCTCTTCAGAATTCCTATTTCTCTTATTTCAACTGTAATCTTATATCTTTATTTTTTTTCATATTTTATTTGTATTATAGCTTCCCCTGGAAATAATCAGCAGCATCAGACAACTTTTTATTTCTTTTCCAAACCACTTGCCCAACCGTTAAGGAGAGAGGACGGTGACGAAGATTGTACCTTTGTGCACTGGCCGAGTACGACTGTTTCAGTTTTGCCTCAACTTTAGCACATAAATCTTGGATTTCCTGAACATGGTTTGCCAAATTATGTCTTGGTGCCAAATCCAACGGCTGATCCTGTGAACCATTGCCTTGTCTGAATATTTTACCTGACATATGAATTTCTCTGCCGAAATTCAAATAAGACGGACTATATCCGGTAATTTCATGAACAGCTGTTCGTAAAGCAAAACCTATCTGATGGAGTTTTTTATCCCAATCACGTTGAGATTCATTTATGTAACTACGAATCATAGTTTTGAGAGTCCTATTAACTCTTTCTGTTGGGTTTGCATGAGGACTATACTGCTCATTGAAACAGATTCGACAATCATACGATTCACACATTTTCTTGAAATTTTTCGAAACGTACTGCTTCCCATTATCACAGAGTAGGCGCTCTGGGACACCAAAGACCATGAATACATTTTCTTCAATGAATTTAGTGCAAGCCTCGCTAGTAGCCGTATTTAAAGGACAAAGCATAGTGAATTTCGTAAAGAGGTCAGTAACAACCAAGACAAATCGATGTCGTCTATGAGATAGAGGCATAGGACCAATCAGATCAGTAGCGACAACTTCTAATGGCTTGGAAACAATACGACTCGACATAACACCAAATGGAGGCTTTTGATCTGATTTCTGAGATTTACAAATTTCACATTTCCTAACATACCCTGAAATATCACTATTCATGCCTGGCCAATAATAAAGGTTAGAAATTCTTTTCCTAGTTTTATAATAACCAAGATGACCAGCGCAAGGTTCGTCATGGTTTTCATGAAACACAGCCAAGCGTAGGTTTTTGGGGACCACTTGCTTCCAGTCCGCATTGTCGTCAAACACTGGTGCATCTGAATTGACAAATTTATATACCTTGTTTTCTGACACTTTCCACTTGGGATATTTTTCTGGTTGGGATATAATATTAGACCTCAAACGACTATACCATGTATCAACATCATTTGGGTCAACATCAACGAATGCGACCTCTGGAGATTTTGAAACAGCCCTTGATAAAGCGTCAGGAAGAGAATGAAATTTCCCACTACGATGAATAACATCAAAATCGTAACCCTGTAATCGTAACGCCCATCGAGCTAATCTTCCGGAAGGATTTTGCAATTTGTGAAGGTAACGAAGAGATGAATGATCTGTTACTACCGTGAATTTAGTTCCTTCGATATAGGGTCTGAATTTCTCTATTCCAAAAAAAACAGCCAAACATTCTAATTCCGTTGTGGAATAGCAAGTTTCGGCAGGCGTTAAGGTCCTGCTAGCATACGATATGACTCGTTCTCCGTCCTCGAAATTTTGAGACAGAACACAGCCCAATCCTATCTGTGAAGCATCACACTGGAGGAAAAACTTACGAGAATAATCTGGGGATGTCAGAATGGGAGCTGAAATCAACAACTGTTTTATCTTCTGAAAGGCGGTCTCACATTCTGATGACCAGACGAATTTACAATTCTTACGTGTCAGCTTAGTTAGTGGAGCAACGCAAGATGAAAAATTCGGAACAAACCGACGATACCACGATATCATTCCCACAAAACGTCGAACCTCTTTGACTCCTTTTGGAGTAGGATAACAAACCATTGACTCAATTTTGGCTGGGTCTGTATGGATTCCGTCTTTTGTAACGAGATAACCTAAATATCTCAGCTCAGATTTCAGAAAATCGCATTTCTTCTGATTCACCGTCAGTCCAGCATCCCATAGCTTCTGGAACACATTTCTCAAAGTTTTCAAGTGTTGGTCGAAATCAGGAGTAGCTATGATAATGTCGTCTAAGTATGCAAAAACAAATTCTTCCAGCTCTGGACCTAATATTGTGTCAATGAGCCTTTGCCAAGTGGCTGAACTGTTATGTAACCCAAACGGCATCCGGGTAAACTGGTACAGCCCTCGAGACGGAACAGTAAACGCAGTTTTTTCTTTACTTTAATCTTCCAGCAAAATCTGGTGACAGGCACTTCTAATATCGATGGAAGAAAAATATCTGGCATTATTCAAACGAGCAAGAATATTGTTGACATACGAAAGCGGGTAAGCATCTCTTCGGGTGACTGCATTTACTTTGCGAAAATCGATACAAAACCTATAGTCTCCATTAGATTTCTTAACCATCACCACCGGACTTGACCACGCAGATTTCGATGGTTCAATAATCCCTAGCGATAACATTTCGTCAATCTCCTGAATAAAAGGCGAGCACGGATAATACCTCTGTTTTATTGGGGGACTATCACCAGTATCAATAACATGTTTCACGCCCTTAACGCATCCTAAACTATGCCCCATTTGATCGAGAAAGAATTGAACTAATTCGCGTACCTGTGCCTTTTGACCCATTACCAAATACTGAGAACTATTTTCAATCTCACATATAGATTCATCTGGTTTTGCTAAAGTGAAAGTGTTATCACGAAAAGAAGAAACAATATCCATGACCCTCCAAAAATCAATTCCAAAAATAATTTCTTCACTCAAATCTATAGCTACTAAACATTTAATCAAATTAATTTTTTGTTCCAGCACAATCGGAACATTAACTATACCTAAAACTGTACACTTATTCCCATTAGCCATCGTGACTGTTTGGATGCTATCTTCTAATGACAAATTCAATTTTGATAATTTTTGCCACCCCGTGCGACCAATACAAGTTTGTGAGGCTCCAGAGTCTAGTAGACCTTGAAAAGGAATACCATAAATAGATACATTCAAATAAGGTCTTGGATCCTTTTCGTGATGTAAAAAGTGCCGATATCCTATCTTTCTTGTATTCACCCTGTACAAAAATTTTCCAAGACTCCCGTGAGTCATCTATAGGTTTATGTGATAATGTTAATTTTGAAATCCCCGTCGATTGATGTGGTGACGGCGGTCTGCAAACCCGTTTTTTGAACTACAACAACACGAATATTTGGTAACATTCGGCCTGCCACATAGAAAACAAAACTGTTTCGATCTAGGTAAGGTACATTGAGAAAAACCATGGCCCCAACATTTTGTCCTAGCTGTACTAGTAGGATGGACTTCATTAACCGGAACTGAGGGTACACCAGAGGGAGTTTCGTAAGCTAAATCTGGTTCGAGAAGGCAAACTGATTTCAGCATTTTTGACTTAAAGACTAAGTCCCGAGAAATCTCAATTGTTTTACATTTTTCGCGAAGTTCATCTATGTTTTTAGTGGTAACCAAGGATAATCTATCAATAAAATAAGGGTCGATATTACGATGCAAAGTATTCAATTTGTCTTGTTCACTTGGCGGCTCCGGTAATCTGTTGAACATATTAATCATACACGCGAAATATTCACCCACCTTTTCCATAGGCTTTTATTTTCATCACACAATTCAATTTAATAGTCGTGACCCAAATATTCAGCTCTTAATTCTCGCGTAAAAATATCCCATGTACTAATTTTTAGTCTCGCGGACCTATACCATATTAATGCTTTATCAGTTAATAAATCTTCCAGAGAAGCGAGCAAATCTTGTTCGGATACATGACGTGACTTTTTGTACTCTTGAACTCTTTCTAAAAATGCATTAACGCTAAGGGTATTAGGTTTACCCGAAAATGAAATATTCCATTTATGAACAGGAGTAGAGGATGGTTTATAACTATTATTTAAATGTACAGAAGATAAATTATCACGATTAGGTACTACATTATCAGTAACAGCAGTAGTTAACGTCGCATCGAATTGTTCTTCTAAACTTGATAATTGACGAAAAACATTGGTTTTTGCATTAGCTAATTCTTTATCATTTTGTGGCACTTTCACTCTCTCCAATCGCGCAAAGAGATGTTTGAGCTTCGCCTCTAAATATTTAGCATCACTACTTTTCTGTTTAACATTGGGACGAGAGATCAAAAAGTCATTCAAAGCAATTATTTTTCTATTACAAACATCTATTTCATCCGTGGGATTCGGACTAAAGGAGGCGTGATACTCTACTGTTCCGAATTCATCTTTCTCCGATAATTCTTTCAATTTATCACGCATCGACCTGACCGTTTCTCCCGCTGTATTTAAATAACCCCTAACGTTGAGTTCATAAATCAATTCATCGCGAACTAGTCCTGAACAATCCATTTTTAAACATGAAATTTATATACACGGTAAAATAGGAAAATACCAAAATTCAATTTTATTGAAGCTCCCGTACTATTGAAATAACTTTTAGAAACAAAATTGATCAAATAATACTCCAACGAGCCAGTATCTTTCACATAGAATGCTTATTTTTCTAACTCGATATAAAATCAAACAAATAAACAAGCCTTGCTATAAAACCAACGTAGGTACTTAAAATAAAAACAAACAACCTCTTTTTTTGTTCCTATAATTATCTACCGTTTCAAATTAATGATTTTGAAAAATTTCGAATAACTATACATTTCCTGGAAATACTGCCAAAAAGATGTATTAGGGCCCCACGTCAAGGGTGCCAATTTCACTACTTGTTACGTAATAAATTTAACAGCTTTGAACTGTACAAAAAAACAACTATATCAAATGGTTACGTAAACAAGGTGAAGCAAAGGGTTATGCTCACAGCTAGCCTGAACAGGGAGAGAGGGGTGAGTTCCTGAAATACTAGGTGTCACTTTAACGGGCGCCAATAGATTCAAATATTTAACCCTGACTCGAAATAATGAAATTAGAGAAATTGAATCTATAAGATCTACTCTAAAAAAAAGGTAACCAATTGATAATGAACTTTGACAGGTAACAATTTGAAAGACTACGGTATCAATTTAATAGAAATATATTATATTATCTATAAATATATAATGAATAAAACAAGATTTAAAATGGTTGGGGGGGTTTCGATTAGAAAATCCTCATGAGAGGAAATAAGAGTGGATGAGATCTGTATTGTACCTAGGTCTTCGTCCAGTCCCCTAAAGACATTACGCAAAACTAACATAACTAATACAAATTACAGAAAACATTTAAACACTATTCGCTGAGAGTAATTCCCCGTTGATGATTACTAAATGTAGATATTGGCCCGTGGAAGTTACGGAAAGCAAAATAAATGATCAAGAACAAATTCCGCTATGCGGTACTTAGCCAGATTTCTGGATTGTACGGAGTACTGCACTTCCTGGAACGGGTGTTCACTTATATCCTCACGAGGCGACCATGACTATTACGGTATTGCTACCAGCGAATGATATATATTATCTTCCGAGTAACTTTTATTTCCTCGAGATGATTTCAATATATGGGGTTAAACGCCTCCGATTACATATTGCCTAATAATCGCGAGACGTTGACTTCCTTTTCCACAAAAAAAAGGACTGATATCTAAAATTCTCCGTAGAGACAAATCGACAGTTGATAATCTAATCCGACGAATTATTCAACCAAATATCACTGTCGAAAGGAACAGTGATCAATTAAAACCGCCTAAAGCGTAAAATATACAATCGACAGAATTCAGCGTTCAAGACATTCGAGCCATTTTCTGAATTAAAAAAAAAAAATTCTCCAATCCCTTTTTTACTACCCGATAGTTCTTATCGCTACAAACAAAAGGTTTCCTCGTTTCATCGATGATGGCAGCAGCTCTCGTATGCGATATGAAAGATAATTGAAATGTATTCCTGGTTGCCTACCTTTCAGGAGTTTTTCTAAAATTTCACGGATAATGTAACAACTGGTTACTTCATTAACTTCCACTTTATAGTGTTCCCTCACTGGAACACTATAAACTGCACAAAAAAATAAAGTCACTCACCAGTTGCACTTGAATACGTATTAAGTTACTTCTTGAGGGTCCTTACGTCCACAAAACCTCTCGTATCCAAAATAAGTAGCAAAGGAAAAGGCACAATTGCTTATCCAGTATTTTATCCGCCCTGTAGTGAATGCTATTGGCGGAACGCTCTTCCTAATATCGCTTTGAAATGCTTCTCCCCACAGATACTAGACTCTACCACAACCAAGAGCAGAGACAACGATGAAAAACAATTCCTTCTTAACTTTCAAGCACATTCTACTCCTACATAACGTTCCTACTCGAGTTCTCACTTTAGTGCCCTTCCCTATTCTTGTAAGTCAAGTAAATAAGTTATATTGCTTCAAATCTTATTGCACAATAGAGAAAAGGGTACAATTCCGAAATACCAACACACACACGACCAGAAGAGAACTTGTTTATCAAAACCCAGATTAGCTGTTCGCTTTTTTCCTTTTCTTTTCAAGGAACGAATTCTCCACTTGGACGAGCTGCCAGCGAACGACGATCGGCTTATCGGACCAATTTAGTTTTTGAAGTTACGGGGTGGACCATCCAAACCGTGACAGCCTTAAAATACAGCTTCCAGTTACATAACTACATTTTTTATATATTTCAATAGATGAAATGATGACCTTGTAATTCTGAATGTATTTCATCCAAATAATTGTCTGTTACACCTGTTTAATCAATACTATATTTCTCGTGATCTTTGTTCACTTGTCTCATTTATCCAGATAGACATGCAATATAAGATGTACATACGTTAAACACGCCACATACACTTGAAACATGTCAGTATATGAAGCTACGTTTTTCCCAAATTATTATTTCGATTTATGCCGTTGTCGATAGGAAATTATTTTAAATTAAAAGAATATATTTTTAGGAGAGACAAATTTTTGGGAAAGAAAGATTTTGACTTTCTACTTCTGGTAGTGGATACAAAAAGTGTGAGAATCTTCCAAACAAAGGAGGGAAGCAATCAATTTCAAAAATTACCTTTTTACAAAGATGTAGATAATGAATCAGTGGTTTGGTGCAATGCATATTGAAGTAAAATTCAGAAATAGCAACTGTGTATAGTAATCAAATTTCGTTTTAATCTCAACAGCACGCTCTGAAAATTATTGATGTGCAATGCATATTAGATGAACAAAATTGGCGCACGAGAATAACTCCAATATTTTCTATTGCATCACAATCGTTCATTTTATTTGCATAAAAACCAAACTGCTCTCATATAACAATTAACTGGTTTATATCCTGAAAAAAAACGACAATTGAAAAATTAAATTAACTTTCAAATGAAGGATCAGGAACATGATGAAGGATGAAGGATGAAGGAACATAATTATGTTCTTTTTGAATAAAAATGCAATATATTGAAAATAATGTAATGAAACATATTACATGTTTTCATCTAGAAAACTCAAGTAATAATGATTTAGGATAACAAAATAACTATCTGCATTCAGGTACAAAACCCTTCTTGTTCTTAAAACTCGGGTACTTGGCAAGGGCTGTGACGATCGAGTTCTTAGAATTTATTAGTCGGGTGCGACTAGACAACACGATAGTCCCATGAATATAGGCACATTTTACGTAACAATCAGGTTTTTTGCTAATATAGAAGTATTCAACAAGTGCAGGGTCAAAGACTCTTTGAATATTATGGTAGAATATTCCTGGACAATTTGTCATTTCTTGGTAGGTATATTTTTGAAGTGAGTTGAACTATTATGAGAAATTGATAATTATTGGTATTTGAATTGGATCCTAACAGGTATTTATGTGATTGAGTGGTATTTTTTTATTGACAAAATGTATTCCATTAATAGTGGTAACTTTCATTCAAGGGTTTTGAAAAAATACTAATAATAGAATGTTTTTGCTAGGAAAACAAAAGAAGAATGTCGGTTTAGGTATACTTCTTCATTGACTAATAACTTCCAAATATTTGACCGAACGAGACCATAAAATGCTATTAACCTCCTTATATCTGAAAACAATACTCAGTTAAACTGAAATAGTGAATGAAAGGGTAGGCCCTGCGAATTTTTGTAATGAGTTCTTTAAAATTTAATCGATCCGTCTTTCCGAAAAATTTCAGAAAATGTTGAGGAAAAAATATTTTTGTTAGTGTTTTGTCAAGTGTTACAACAATTCAAATTGTATGTGATGGAATTGTTGACACAATTAATTAAGAAAATTAAGTAAATTAAGTCTATATAATAGCTTTTTCGGGCGTGTTTAATACAAACTCAATTTCTTAATTTTTCTCATCCTTTGGCACCTACCTTTCCTGGTCTCATAATGTTAATGTATTGTGACCTTATATTATGTAGATTATAACGGAATTAAATCACCTTCATCGCAATAATTGCGAATTAAATCACCTTCATACAATAATTGCGAAAATGTTTGAATAATTTCTAACACCAGCTTCTCTCTTCCCAAAACATTATCATTCATTATGTATCACTAGCAGAATTTTGCATAACAAAATACTCTTTGGAGTTTGTCAAGCAATATTAATATGGTTTCAACCTTCAACTGTCACAATATGAACATCGATACTTATTCATTTTGAATTATATGTGTATTTCACTTTCTTGTTGAATTTCCGAAAATATATTTCTCTGCATCATGACATTTGTATCTTCATCGTCGGTTACTTAAAAGATAGTAGGAATGGCCATTCAGAAACTTAATAAACATGACAATCTATACATAGGACTGCTTGAGCAAGCAAAAGTAGGGTTGCCACCTTTATTTTACAATTGAAGTACATTTACTACAGCTTTACTAAGTAAATTTACCGTGTGGCTACAAAAATGAAAATGAATCATAATATCATTTTCTCAAACCATTGGAATGCTGAAATAACTGCTGATAGGTGACCAATTTAATAATAATGTATCAATGCACAGCTAATGGGATATTAATCTTGTTCCCACATGGCAACCAAACGACCAATCAAATCATGCGAAATGAAGTATTGTTGCGTAGTTGATTGTTCTCATTAAATATAATAACACGAAATACGACATGTTGAAAATATTACACCCTCTGTCAAACTTGATAACTTCTAGTGAAAGATTTCACCTGAGTAATTTCATGTTTGGTAATGTCAAATTACCATACCTAGTTATAGTTCGTTCAGTATTGTCTGAGATTAAAAGAATTTCAAGTATGCAAACATGTCGCTACATCAAAGAAAGCAACATAGTCGTCTCAAGCAAATAGCACTGCAATTCACCCACAAAATCATTGAGATATGTCTACCCTCTATATCCCTTGAGGACGCCGCTAACGAACCATTAAAATAGAGATATGCGACAAAGAACGCGAAAACACCGACAAAGAATGCGAAAATATCGCCAATAGAACCGCTCGATGTTTTTTCTGATATTACGTTTGAGATAATATTAATAGGCATCGGACTGGGGGTATTAATATAAATTTCCCATTCATATATTGTGTGATGAAAAGATAATTGAAATATGGTGAAAACTAATTTTGTTTAAATATACCATTTTGGGAACAATTTATATTTGAAATAGTTTATTATTTAGAATTGTTACCTTCTACAGATCTATAAAATAATCAGAATATTAAATTTACAAATAAATACAAATATAGAAAGGGCAAAAAGTTAATGCATTTGATAAATTAGCTTTTTGGACAAAAAATTTGTCATTAACTTGAATTTAAAAAATTTTGCATATTAAAATAAATATGTATCATCTGGCGATGTTTCAAAGACTCTATCCATTTTCTTTATCCAACCTATTTAAATCAATACATTATAATTTGTAGTTATGATTCGTCTTTTGATGTAAATAAATTTGATATTATTATTATCATTGACACTGATAATATCAAATTGATCGTCGGTATGATAATGAAGATGGATAAAGTATTCAAAACATCACCAGATAAGTATACAAATAGAATAGATTTCGGCGGTTAGAAATTTGAACATCTGATTTCGAGTTGAACCGCGTTAAAAATTTTGCGTTGTTCGACGTTTCGGCTTCGACTTTGACATTTTCAGAAAGTAGAAAAGTGTGGCTGCACTGAGAGATACACTTTATGTATTCTTGTTGGTTTGGAAATGAAGATTCATATTCCTTATTGGATTTTATAGTTGATTCAGAAACAATTTTATAGATTCAATGTGAATACTTACTTCGAATAAGACATTGCGATAACTTTAATCTGAAAAAAGTCTACAGGGATTCGTTGAATGATTCTTCACTGCATGAATCAGTTTCATCAGGATTTATGACAACTGGAATAATTTTTTCTGATAATGAGTCTATGCGATCATCCAGATCCCACATCTCTACTTCGATTCTGATTGTTTTGTGGATACATTTTTCCCAAGCTTTTTGGTCGACTGTTTCCAGAGCACTGTATAGGTATTTCTTTACTTAACACAGCTTGAAGGTCTCATTATTCCTTGCGATGAATCCTTTAACTTGAGCCCAAACCAACTGTATTGGATACAATTCACAGTAATAAGGCGGCAACCGAAGAACCGACATACCTGACCAATTTTGACATACTTTAACATGGTCGATTCAAAAGAAATAGCTTTCATTTGTAACCACTCAGTAATATCTGCTTTCTTTCAACACGACGACGGCAGCTTCTCGACTCGTCTACTGTTGTAACTTGTGGTATCCATTACTATTACGGATCTCTGCTGTGGCATCCATTTCTTGATGATAGTCTCCATTTTCATTCGATTCAAACACCATCAATCCGTATTTCACGAATCCTTCACTGCTGCCTATGTGAGTGATGATAAGACGACGATCTTTTCCAAATGGAATTTTCAAACCAGTAGACCAACCTTCCATTAAGGCTTGTCTTCCACTTTTGATGTACTGATCTTGCCAAACCTTCGAGACGGTATGACCCTCATTGACCCATGTTTCCCAAATAAAAAATAGATTTACCTTGTGCTCTGGCTTTCTTTATTTCTCTTAAATAGTTTCTTCTCCATTCTACAATCTCCGATTTTTCTATTAACAGGCTTTCTCTATCTTCCTTTCCAAAAGTGAAAGTCAGCTCATGTAATCCATAATCAAGTTCCTCTTGTATCAGGAAAAAAACTGTCTCCACGAATAACTGACAGAATTTTATTCAATGTAGGTATTTCGTTTTTTATGTGAAAAAAGTGTACTGTTCTCCTAATAGAATTCTTCACTTCTTCATCGATAACCAAACACTTTTTACCAGTGGATACTTTCGGCTCGAAAAAGTTGTTGTTTTACTTGAGTTCCTTGAGAATAAAAATTATCGATCTATTGACATCGGTTATACTCGCGCATTTTTGCACTACTTCCTTCTTACTTTTTA